GCGTAATTTTCGCGAACGTCGGCTCGCAGCCAATGTCCGCACTTGCAAGATTCCGACCGGGTGCTCGGCGCATAAACTCACCTGACCCGATGCGACGCCGGCGGTAAGTAACCGCGGCGTAAGCTCGCCCGATTTTAAGAGAGCCATGAAAACGTCCGCGAGTGCCGAGTGGGAAACCTTTCCCGCGCTCCGGCCATGATCGTACGACGTTGCGGATGATGTTCTCGCCGGGATTGCGGGACGGGTACGAATGTAATCTAAAGGGAAGTGGCCACCCGGGGAATCGCACTCGGCGCACTCGATCAAATGGAAAATGTTTGGTTTTTACGATGCCTCGAAATGTTCCGAAACACGAAGTTAAGTCGTTCTGTTTATTTCGATGGCTCCTATGGACTTCCGGCTGCTCTTGTTTGCCGGCGAGCGTCGCGAGGAAACGTGATTTCCTCCAAACGAGATATAAAGATTTCGTTTCACGGTAGTATCTCCCGAATTCGATCGCGCTCGCGGTGAAACGGGAGAGATAGTTATCGATCCTCCGTGCAAAACGAAAGGAAAGAAATCTGTTAATACGTAACAATCGTGAGAAAACTTTGCAGCGAGAGGGAAATCTATGTCCACTGCAACGCACCGAAACGCGCCACAAGTTATGTCGCGCGTACTGCAGACGTCAGAAACAGTACTTTAAAGTCTCCCCAGGCGGTAAGGGCTGAACCGGTGATTGTGAGGACGCGAGCATATGCCCGAGACTGGCTGCGAGCCTAAGCGAATGAGACTAGGAGCGTGACAATATGCAGACAATGGTAATAACGTTGGACAGTCGTGACTATCTATTGTGTCTCTCACGGGAATTCTCTTCCACGATGAATGCGTCCCCGTCTTAACGGTGATTACGACAGATCTTCGTTAAATTCACGATTTCCGAGACGCGGCACCCGACGTATTCGGCGTCGCGCGATTGAAAAATTTTCGCGTTAATTACAGATTATTTGAACGTCGAAATCCATATCTGTTGGAGTAAATTCTATACAAGGCCGAATCAATTTCACGATGCATTAGCAATGCGCTGTTGCATAGATGATACGCACAACAAGCAGACAATAGTGATTGCCGAGGTGAGTGATATCGAATGGCACAGATAGCTCTGTCTCTAATCATGCGTGGTGTATAAGCATAAGCAGAACCTTAACCAGCAGAATTGCGCTGCTTTTTTCATGCAATTTCCGTAGCATTCGAGCGAAATTAGTCGCGGTCGCGGATAGTATAGCAAGAGCGGCGAATAATAGTCGGCAAGTATCGATCGCGTGAAATGTGATTAACCGCTTGATGGCTACCATTATGGGTCTCCGAATTTGCATGAAACTCCAATCAATAATTCAGAAGTTCGATTAAAGCGTAATCAGAAGACAATTTTTCATCGCGATGACATCGCGTTTTAGCCGGCCTTCCGCCTCCCGCCGCTGCCGCTTAACACGCGTAAGGCTGATAATAATCGTAACACGTTTTACGACCGCGACTATATAATTATCGTCTCCCGTCCGTTCGCCGCGGCAAAACAGCCGCGATAACTTCGCTCACCCTTGCTTGCCGCCGTGCGCAATCGAGCCGCGCGCAAAATGATGAGATATATTGCGCGCCCTCGCGCAGTTACGTAATACCGAAGCCAACATTGTCGAATCCTCATTGTTAGTGCGGGGGCGCAGTGTAAATGCGGCAATAATCCCGACGTGATATATAATTATGTCTTACGTGGCACGTTATTACAGATAGGCTGTGTGTGACTCTTGGCGGCCCGCACACCGACATATCCCTTCACCTCCTAAACCCCCCCTCCCCCCTCCTCACTCACCCATTCTCTCTGGAGGCCGTTATCTTCTCCTCCCGGTGCATCTGCCCGCGTACCAGGTAATACGAGCCTCATATGTAAATCCCATTCTGATTAACATTCACGTGTACCAACT